TTTCTCAGCGTGTCTACTTCCTAGCATTAGATGGTTATGAGAGCTGTCAAGGGAACATGATTGAGGAAATAGTGATAGAAACCTTCCTACGTGGCTGTCGAGATAAAGAAGCTGCTATGAAAGCTATGGATAGAGAACCAACAACACTCCAGAAAGCTGTAAAGTATGTGAAAACAGCCATTGCGAACCATCGTGCTTTATACGGGACCATAGGAAGCACCAGAGTAGCCTCCTATTCTCAACGACAAGTTTCATTCTCGAGCAGGGAGGGATCCCCAACAAGTGAACCTTCTCCTCGTAGGGCTGATACTAAGCTCTCTAAGGAAGACAACAACAATTCTCTGGATAAGCAAATCTTACACCTTACAACTTTAGTTGAGAAATTAACCACAACAATTCAGCAATCCTTTGGCAGAAATCAGAGTAGTTCACCACTATTGAAAGTGCGTTTCCTAGAGAGATCTCAAAGTCCTAGTCGATTACCAGCCAGGGGCCAGCACTTCTCGTCTCCAAACAAAAGAGACAACAATACATCAGATGAAGCGAGAAGCCCAATGAAGGGTGATTTAAACAGAAAAGGGTCAAGCCAGTAGGCCCACACTTGACCCCTGATAAGAGTGGCCTAGGAGATAACGTTGTTACTATTAGGAGGACTTTAGGAAAAAGCATCAAACTAAGTGTCACCATAGGAGAAAAGCCTATTAATGCAATTGTTGACACAGCTGCTATGATAACCCTTGTCAATGATAAAATAGTGCCAGACAGCCAGATAGCTACATCTGAGTTCATAAAGCTTAAGGGGCTAGGTGCCAAAATAGTGCATGGTAGATTGCTCAAGAACGTTCCTCTCAATATTGGTGATCTTCATGTAACTTGGGACTGCTGTGCGGTATCAATGAATGATGACATGATCCTGGGACTAGACTTTCTGGAAGCCAACCACGGGATCATCAACATTAAGAAGGGAGTGCTGTTTCTCGAGGGCAGGAAATTTCCTATAAAGTTGATTTCCGACCCACCTGAAGGGCACCAAAGCTCTCACATCTGGATACGGAGGACAACACGTGTACCGCCTAACACTATTGCCAAAGTATCAGTTCAACTAGATAAACCATTATCAAGTGACTATGTTGTTTCCCCTTTACATCTAAAATGTAATGTTCTTGGATCTTATACCCTACTAAAGGACTTGAGTATAGGACAGCGGGAAATGTTCAGGCAGCATCAACAGCGGCTTTTGGCGAATGGTATGACCATTGATAGACCCTTTACTATAGCAGGGAACCCCGTCATGGCCAGAATTGTTGACAGTCATTTCCACCTCGACCAAATCCTGCGCAGGACCAACTTCAAGACCTGGTTTGAACTAGAGCAGCAGTTCGGTGCAAGGGTTTAGGTGCTACATGCCGTAGCTAACTATGTCTTTCCCTGTCAATGGGAATCTTGGCAGGCACACATATTGGATGCCAAAAACATATCAGTTTCCTTTGGTATCCACCCACATGTTGCTGACCTGGCAGAGCAGTACCTTGACAGGCTCATGGACTTAGTAACACACCAGCATTGTGTAGCCATTGGGGAGGTTGGCATTGATCTCACCACCAACTGCAGATGTAACCCCTGTGCGAGGCCAGTGGCATGTAGGGAGCGTTTGCTGCAGACACAACAGGGCTTTTTAGCAGAGGCCCTTAACTTGGCAAGAGATGTCGGTAAGCCTGTCATTCTACACTGCAGGGATGATGGATCCGGTGAGGCAGCCAAACGCACCTTGGCCATGATCCGTATGATGGACATGACACACCATGCTTTCCATCGACATTGCTTCACAGGTTCTGTGGAGGAGCTACGCCAGTGGGAGATGGAACTGCCTGCAGTGAAATTTGGAGTCACAATGAGATCAGCGCAGGACCCAAATCTGGTGGCCAGGATCCCAGTTGAGCGCTTGTTGTTGGAGACAGATGCTCCATATTTATTACCAGCTCCTGGATGGAAGATGAACCACCCCTGGAACCTAGCATCTCTTGCTGCACAGGTTGCTTCTATCCGCAACACACCAGTTTCATTTATCCTGGAAACAAGTAACAACAATGCCAGGCAGTTCTACAGATTATAATTTTTTTCTTTTTTTTTTCTCATCATGTTCATCAATTATAATTATAGTGTATTTTCTATATTTGTATAGATCAATTACTTCAGAAAAAGTAATTTTTGTTATGCAAGTGTATAAACACATTGTATATTTTTCATGATTACTCTACATTTTTCTTACAACATGTATATGTGAAGGGATTATGTCTCTCACCGGTACTTTGTTGACAAGTAGTCATGATTGGGCAGTATTTGTATGTATATTTTTGTACTTTTGCTCAAGTTGACATTTATATGATTTTGTACAATATTGGGGGGTGGATTTTTTCAAATATCATTACTGATTGATAAAATTCGCCAATGATACCCTTGGCTCTACAAGGAGGGGAGGAGTGTGGTACCACAGCCCGACTCATCCGTGTACGACCTATCTCAACTAACATTGATCTCCCTGACCTCCATCTTGCCAGACGTCTGCTAGACATAGCCTGTCTTATTGACCTAATCTGGAGGGATTTGTCAGGTAATTCGTCGACCATTACGACAGTAGCGAGTATGCGAGTGGATCTAACATCTAATTTTAATTATATTGAGTATCGATGAATACCCTAACAGATGACAAATTCATAACACTCCTATAATTACGAGCGGATCTGTAAGGAGTATCATGATTATTACACCATCTTTCCTTGTATTAGCCATACCTTTTCACTTCCGCGTCTCCGTATCTAAGCGACAGCAGCCTGAGTTCGACTAACATGCAGACGAGATGAATGATCTACATCTAGCAGTTTAGATAAAGTGGAGGTAAATAAAAGGTTTATATACATTTTTCTTTAAAACTATATATACACACAAAGTAAAATTTGTTATGTTCCCCAGGAAGAAAATTAGCACGATTACAGTGGTATTGAAAAATTATGTAATATCTGATATGTATCGATACTGATAGACCCTTTACAAAGTATATATTACGACTTATTAATTTATTTTAGACGGCAACTGAGGGAGACATATATATATATATATATATATATATATATATATATATATATATATATATATATATATATATATATATATATATATATATAAAACAAACAGATATATATCCGTCAATGGAAGTTTTAAAGCTTTAATATTAGTTTTAATATGCGAGTATAACCTAGGTATGCAAGAAAGAGAAAATGAATAATATTCTTATTATACAATAATAATAATGTAATAGAATTAAAATGCAGGGTTTTAAATACCGTGAAAAAAATGTTTTACATTCATTCTTAAACGTAATGCGTATCTATATTCATTTTTCCTAAAAGAAAGACATTATTAACCGTGTTTATGTTTCGTTGAATAGACGTCATTTTACAAAATTGACGTCACAATGGTTTTAAATGAATTTATGTATAGATGAGTCTAATCAATCTATAGATCTACAATTATGAAAAAGGATTTGAAGTTTCTTCACAGAAGAACTCAATATATAGCTATGTGTCATCAATTACATGCCTTCCAACTGGGGGGGGGGGGGTCAAAAGGCAAACATTTTTAATGCCAAATTCTTTAAATACATGCTACATTTCCCTAATATCACTTCATCTTATTGCAGTAACACCTTTAATCTTCTGTTAGTTGCTACTACCAATTTTGATTTTCTTCTTGTATTTTTTTATCATTACTTGTGTGCCCTGATGGGCCCCAAATTGGTATCAATAAATCTTATCTTATCTTATTGTAGTCAAATATTGGGAGGGGGGGGGGGGGTAACCAGCCTGTCAATGAATATTTTCTATAGCAAAAATAATGTTGGGTAAAAAAGTTGCTACATGTACGTGCCTGATACATATAAACTATTTTGGGCACATGTTATTTGATCTGAAAATAAATTACATCATAAGTAATAAAAACAGAGAGAATATTGCAATTAAGAAATCATGAATTTATTTGTCGAAAGGAAAAAAAATGTGACTCGGGAAAAATATAAATAATTACTTTATAATATTGGACTTTTACGAGATGCGCTGACTTTTACAGTTGACGAATCACTCTCACACTAGGACAGTACGGAAGCTCATTTACGTAAAAAATATTTAGCTTTACATTTATTTCAACAAAAATAATGGGGAATTTCAAAGCGCAGGTACGTGTGGACAGGAACCCCCCTCCCGATATTCAACCCCTGGGCTTATTGGGCATTTTTTTTTCACAAAGTATATTTATAACATTTAGTCATCGTGTGTACAATACAGATGTAAGAAAAAATCGCAAAAACCCCAAAATAACCGCAACACAAAAAATATTCCTCTATACATTATAAGAGAGACCTTTCTCTCTTATAATGTCAAGAGGAGTATTTTTTGTGTAATCCAATCAGCCCCAGGTTGAATATCAGGGGGGGGGGGTCCTGTCCACAAATACCCGTACGTGTTTCAAAACACAGATACGTTTTCTCTAACAAAAAAATTATCAATTCGATCTGTACCTCCGTAGATAATACACGTTTAAATGTCCAAGTAAACAGTCGACTGTAAAATTTGGTGCTTCTCGAAAAAGTTGGAGAGCAACACGCATAAAACTGAAGAGATTTTTGTTAATTAAAATACAGTAGAGCACGTTTATAGCGAGCAGAGATATCTCACGTCCTGCAACGTGTTGTTATTCCCTGTTTTGCATGTTTTAGTGTAGAATGGAAAACTAAATAAATGAAATGGATACTGCTAATAATATTTTCAGGGATTGAGAAAAAAACCCATTGATAATAGTATTGGAGACGGTAGAATTAGAGCATATTTTGACAATCCATCATAATTTCAGGACAGAAAATAAAGCGTATTCATAAATTCATCAATTGATTTTTTTTTCGTTCTAACTGTAGTGAATAAAATTTCAAATCATTAAAAGTAGTGGTAATATCTAATCTCTAAATTCTAACAGATGCCAGGCACTGGGAAACGGGAGTTCCCCTGCATTCTATGCAAAAAACGAACAAAAAAAAAATGAAAGGCGAGCACTGACAGCAGAACAAAAGCAGCTGGTGAAAAAAATAGGTGTGTCTGATCCATCTGATAGAGATGTGCTTTGCACTATATGTAGGTTTAAATACCACGTACAGCTGAAAAAGAAGATGGAAAGAAAAACCGCTGCGCCGAAGGATGGTTTATATTCACCGCAACAACAAGGAAACACTTCCAGATATGCCAGGAGTCCACCCTCGGTCACCCTTCCGCTACCATCGTCCGCCACCAGCCATGCCCGTTGTTTCATCTGCAAACGACCTGGGCCTAAACTAATTGTAGTGCCAGCAAGTGAGAGAAACTCTGTTTTTCTGCATCAGAATATCCTTATTCCTTATGGTTCAAGGTGCTGTATTAAACATATGCCAGATGGCAGGTTTAACTCAGAGGCCCTAAAACAGATTCCCGTTTTCTCACAAATATCAAACTTAAACAGGAGCTCCATCCTCGACATTCTACAATACTTGCGAGAAACTGCATTGAGGTACGAAACATCTCGACTTGATTTTGACCGAGAAAATGCTTCCAATGATCAACAGTACACAAGTCTCACTGGTCTTAGCAAACATTCCTTTGACGACCTGTTGTCTTATGTCAGTAAGATTGTTAAGAATACCTCTGTACGCAGTGCTCGGAATAGCCTTGGAATTATTCTTGTTAAGATGAAATCCGGCCTATGCAACAGTATTCTGTCCACCATTTTCAACATATCGAAAGCAAGCGTACGTCGGGCTATTCAATCAGTGCGGAGGGCATTAATGGAAAAATTTGTTCCCCAGAACCTTGGCTTTCAGCACATTACAAGAGAAACTGTCATTCAACAGCACACAAGACCATTAGCTGAATCATTGTTTGGCGGAATAGGAAATCAAGCACTGTTAGTTCTGGACGGCACTTATATATATATCCAGAAAAGCTCCAACTTCACTTTCCAAAGGAAATCATACAGCTTGCACAAAGGACGTCCACTTGTCAAACCGATGGTGATCGTCTCTACTAGCGGTTATTATATCTCTGTTATTGGACCCTATCTTGCGAGGAACAACGACGCGGCCATCCTCCATCACATCATGAGATCAAACAGGGAGGACGTATTGAAATGGATCGAGGAGGACGACGTTTTCATCGTCGACAGGGGATTCAGGGACTCCGTTTCGTACCTTGAAGAACTTGGTATTCAGGCTATTATGCCAGCCTTTATGAAGAAGGGGGAGAAACAGATGTCCACCCAAGATGCAAACACAAGTCGTCTTGTAACTAAGGTAACTGTTGAGATTGAATTTAATTTAATTAGAGTCACGCTTTTTAAGTGTTTGTAAGTTTTATGTGTTTATATACGTTTCTTGCATTTTCTTTAGATTCGATGGGTGGTGGAGTCGGCCAACGCTCGCATTAAGAGATGGAAGTTGCTTGATTGTATTCTACCAACAAGTCAAGTACCTTTTATTGGCGACTTTGTCAAAATTGTATGCAGCATCTCAAACAAGTATTACCCACCACTGTCTTCAGGTTCGTCATAAATATACATATATAAGATTTTATTTTTTTTATATGCAATATTAAAAGTCTGTAAATATTAAAGGTTTCAAATAATTTTGTACAGGTGACAAAGACGCCGATATGGCTATCGCAGCCAAGATGCAGTTTCTTGCAAAACAAGTGAACCACCTTAAGGAGGAAGTTGAATCCAAGAAACTCCACTCACATGTAGCCATATGGAAAAATCCTGCATTTTCTTTAGATTCGATGGGTGGTGGAGTCGGCCAACGCTCGCATTAAGAGATGGAAGTTGCTTGATTGTATTCTACCAACAAGTCAAGTACCTTTCATTGGCGACTTTGTCAAAATTGTATGCAGCGTCTCAAACAAGTATTACCCACCACTGTCTTCAGGTTCGTCATAAATATACATATATAAGATTTTATTTTTTTTCATATGCAATATTAAAAGTCTGTAAATCTTAAAGATTGCAATAACTTTGTACAGGTGACAAGGACGGCGATATGGCTATCGCAGCCAAGATGCAGTTTCTTTCAAAACAAGTGAACCACCTTAAGGAGGAAGTTGAATCCAAGAAACTCCACTCACGTGTAGCCATATGGAAAAATCCTGCAGATCTTGATTCTTTGGGGTTCCCCCATTTAGACGAGGATGAAATTAGGAACATAACTTGCGGGATATACCAGCTCAAACTTGCCAGCAGTTATGCAGCAGAACATTTTCAAGACGGGAGTGATATCTTGATACACAAAGAAGACCCAAGTTTGCTGCGAATCAAAATTCAGAGTAGACATATTTCATCGAAATCATATCTCCTATGGATCCGTTACGACGAATCAAGCATCACCGGATGGTACTGTCGGTGTAAAGCCGGGGCCCGTGTGGTGGGCGTTTGTGCACATGTCGCAGCCGTGATATGGTATTTAGGACTCGGTCACTACAAAGGATCGTTTAAATCTGTCCAAGATTGGGGAAGATTCGTTGATGACGCTACAGTTTTCCCAGACCCAGTAGACGAGTCAGAGTCAGACGAAGATCCAGTTGAGGAGTAAATTAAATTGAAGTTGTTTAATAAGCTCAGAATAAGCATTATAGGTACATGAGGTATTGCAATTCTGAAAGAGATTATCATTTGCTGTTTTCTCATCCATTCTAACTCTGCTTTTTGAACTTGTATCTGATTTTGAAGTAAATATATAATAATTTTCTGTATTCAGTACATATGCTTGTAAGTTTGAGAATGTTCACTGTAATAATGATCATTATTAGTACATTTTTGTTTTTTAATTAACTTTATTACTTCCAAAAATGGCTATCTAGTAGAATATGAAGGTACATCTTATATTATGTATATTCATTTCAATAAAAGCCTTCATTTTTATTTCTTCTTTAAGCCTTCACAGTGTATCTATTTTGGTTACATTTGATATACATCTAGGCCCGTACGTTAAAGTAGGTAGTTAAAGATGAATTTAGATTAAGTTCATTGTAATGTAACAATATTGGAAATCCATGCCGTAAAGTAAATCAAAGTAAATCCTTGTTTACTACACTTCCGTTACTACTTTCGTTTCAAACAGGATTTACCCACAAACAAACACACCATCGATTGTGTTACTATAACCCCTCTAACTCCGTTGTGTTAGGATATAATTCGATGTATAATAATCGTACTCAACAAGATCCTCGTTTAAATAATGCTTCTTATGTAGTATTATCAACACTTGCTGTTGAATATGGACGACATCGAGAAACAAACTTGTTTTTAATCTTCTTTTATCACTCCCCATGAAATTAATTTCAACTGCTTCTTACGACCATATTTATTATAAAATGTAAAATTAAGATATGTTTTATTAAGTGAGTCCAATACAGCATAAAACTTGTAAATTCTATGTTTTTAGAATTGTTTATTTTTGAAATACTCCCAGTAACATTTAATCTCGGTATAAACAGTTTTAACCGACAGCCTCTTTCCGACCAGTAGAAAAATCAAAAACGATTGTTAAAAAGATTTTTTTCTGTTAAATTAAAAAAGGCTTATCATTTTCATTGATAATGTAAATATTTATATTTGTTAAAATAAAATTTAAAATATTAAAATAAAATACAAATTATTTGAAAATCCGACGTAACCTTTTTACTCATAACGTCGCTTAAAGCAACGTCAAAATTGCGCAACGTTATCACAAAGCATGCTATATTTAAATTCAATTAAAAAATAAGTAGAGCATTGGACAATTTTAAATTTGTAATTTTATGAAAATATACACTCCATTAAATTATTTTAAGGCCCATTTTTTGATTTGGACACGGGGCCGAATACAGACCCAAACGAAATTTGTTCTTTATAAAACTAACTATTGTAATTCAGTCTGCAAAATGATTATTAACAGGTACCTCATAAAAAATTCGACGCCTGACTAAAAGCTCCAAGAAAGACAGAACAAACTTATTCTTATTTTCTCTGAAGCAGTTGTCTGCCTGTAGGTAGAGGACAGGAGGCAATGATTTCCCCTGTCAATGTAAAAAACAACATTTTGTTCAAATTCTTAATAACTGGTAAATACACTGCAGGTGTGTGCAACTATCATTGCCCGATGTCCGGGCTACCAATTTTAGAGGTCAGGCTAGCATCGTCCTTTGGGCTTAGCCTAGTAAATCTAAAACTATGTACTGTAGACGTACTTTTTTCCACAGGGTCATAATTTTGTGGAATCTCAATTTCTATTAAATCCACGAATAGGAAATTATGCGGATTACATAGACTGTCAGAATATGTCTTACTTTTATATTAAGTATGCTTGGACAAAATGCTGTGGAAAATTTATGACTGTGTACATAGCGTAAATTAAATTAATACCACGCAGAAAAAAATACTTGTACAGTATATGAATATTTTTGTCGACTTAATTGATGTATGAATAAACTTTGGTTTAAAATCATAATCTTTAATTTTTTTTTAGTCTATATATATTGTGTGTTGATATCGCCAGTTGTTTTAGTGACAATGATAGTTGCTGAATCGCTGCATTTCATTTCCGGAAATATGCATAGCATTTCCAACATTTTTATATTTTATTTCCGACATTTTTTTTCCGACATAATTTTTTTTTTCATTTCCGGAATTTACCTGTGCTGCAATTCAATGTTTTCTCAGTAAAAGAAAATGGAATTTTAAAAGTATGTATGCCAAAATATTAATCATAAAAACATCTATACATATATGCATACATGTAGCACTAAGTCAAGGTAAAAGAGTTTAATGGGCATAAAACTTTTTCACCATATCTGATGTGCACGAAATTAAATGTCAGTGACAGCATCATTCTTATATCCAAGTCACTGATAGATTTACAAAAGTTGATTTCAATGATTTATTTATTCCTTTAAATTTTTCATAAGTAAAGTTATCAAATTTTGTTACTAAAGGTACTACTTATGTATTTGAAAATGTCGGAAATGAAAACAAAAAAATGTCGGAAATGAAAACTAAAAAATGTCGGTAATGAAAAGTTGATAATTACCAAAAATTACAGAAAAGAAATGCAGCCGATAGAATAGGGAGAAGTACCTGGCAATAAAAATGCACAAACTATTATTTGTTTAATTTATTTCAACTTATCGGACTAGTATCTTTGTTATTGCCACTAGCCCAACCGGTTAGTAACTATTTTTTTTTAATTGCACACCCCTGCACTGTAAATTTTTATACGGAATATTTCTGTTTTTTACCTTTGAGTGGTTCCATAACACTTTCATCAAAACATTCAGTGTAAGATTGGAATCATGTTTGTACTGGTGCAGGTCTGTAAACAGATATTTTCTATTCAGGCCATGACACAAAACTCCTACATCTATATCTACATTATACAGCGTTCCATCAAACATGATGAGTATACGCTGGCCCTGCGCAAACGGACCTCTAAAATTAAATCAAAAAGTAGGAGAGAAAAAAAAAAATTTACAAATAAAAATTAAAAACTAAATGCCATGAAAAGTTTAAATTAAACAAGTGCTTTAGGAACAATTTACATTGTGCATAAAAAAGTGTATATCTATATATATTTACAATGTACTCTAGCTGATTTGTTCTGAATATAAGAGTTATGGAACATAACTTAGGACCAGAGTTCTGAACTGGTCCAGAGAGGCCGCTGCCACCACTGAGTGTGGGAGAGTATTCCAAAGAATCACTGTGTGGGGAAAGAAACTAAATTTATAATAGTCAGTTCGTGTACTGAAGGTCTGAAAGTGAAGAGAACTGGTATTACGTGTGATGGTCGTTGTCTGAGGTACAAGATAAAGGCTTTGATCTATAGCTACTAATTTGTGTGTAATTTTATACAACATTATCAATCTACATATTTTTCTTCTGTGATCTAATGTTGGCCAATTTAGATGGTGTAACATGTTTGAAACACTACTTGTATTATGGTATCTATGTGTGACATAGCGTGCAGCTCGTCTTTGTACATTTTCTAATTTGTCTTTAAGTTTTTTTGTATGTGGTGCCCAGACTGAAGAACACTATTCAAGGTTGGACCTGACCATTGATTTATATGCCAAAGATTTTGTTTCTTCAGTTTTTATCTGCAAATTTCTTTTTAAAAAACCCAATATCTTGTTTGCCTTAGAAGTTATATTATTGATATGAGGTTCCCAGGACATGTTGTAGGATAATGTTACCCCTAAATATTTTGCTGTCTTTATAGATTCTAATGTGTGTCCTTTTAAATTATAGTTATATTTTACTGGTGTGCGAGATCTTGTGATACTGAGTGAATTGCATTTTTGAGGATGAAATTGCATTCCCCAGACATGTTCCCAATTAGCTAAGGAGTCAAGATCTTTTTGGAGGATTTTACAGTCATTTTGATTATGAATGGGTCGATAAAGGATGCAGTCATCGGCAAAGAGCCTTGTATTAGATGTGACAGATGATGGTAGGTCATTTATAAAAATTAAAAATAGAAGGGGCCCAAGGACTGACCCTCCAGTAACATGCACATTCAATTGCCTTGTTGCTGCAAACTCCTATAATGAGAATTAAATATTATTACAGAAGGAAGGCAGTGAGACATAAAAAAGTAAAAAAAAAATTGATTTCATCTCTGTATTTCTTGAAATTTCATCACCATCCCTTCACAATTATATCACATATTGCTCATCAAAATACAAGATCTTGCCAATAAACATATTATCTTTATAAATAATACATGTACATGAAGAATTGTTTACAAAATGTAATATCAGATTTGTTTGTGTGTTTGTTGTTTTACGTTCATCTCAAGAATTCTTCACTTATATGGAGAAGCTACCACTTGCCAGTGGAGAACTGCAAATTTTGACCTACTATGGCGCTTGGGGCCATTGAGCAGGGAGGGATCTTTTTAGCTCCAGCACCTATTATGACATGGAATCTTGGTTTTTTGGTTGCGGGATAATTTGAATACTGATCCCGATCACAGAATAAAGAAGAAGAAAAACTGGGGAGGGTGGACAATCGAGAAATATTTTAATAATGGCCTAATATTTTTCCTATTCACTCGGTAAAGGTAAATACCTAATAACAATGTGTTTTCTCTTCGATAATATTTGTACCTTGCTTGGTCTTCCCTTAAAATGAGGAATGTTTGTTTTGGACTGATCCATTCCATCGATTATGAGGCTTATGTATCTATCAGGTCGTCGTCTGCTTACTGTTCTTCGTCTGTAATATGCTGATTTCTCTTTCCTATAATATAATTATATGTCTAAATTAATTTGCAGAATCATGATAGCATATTTTATGTGCCCATATTTTGAGTTTTGCTATATAATATCAATTATGGGTACACCACAAATAACAACATCAATGTTGTATTGTTATTGTATTAATGGAAAACTGTGAAAATCATTTCAAGCAATTTACTCATTTTTAGTAGAAAGATGCAGGGACCTATACACTAATTAAAGTATATAGGTTCCTGGAAGATATGATACTGTTTAATATTTATTTACATTTGTCTGTGCAGATGTTCTTGTTTCTTTAGAAAAATTTCCTTTTTTT